AATTCCAGGAATCGACATAAGCTAACCAGCTCTCTAAGCACCCATAAAACTGATTTCGTAACCAATTTTACAGTAATTTTACCTTAAATTCGAACAAGCTTTAATGTTTGCTGCTGCTGCTGCAAATGTTGTCTGTCATTTGTGCGACGTTTCTTCTACCTGTTTCTATATTGAATTTTGGGTTTTGCGCAAAACTCGTCTAGGGCTGGCGCACAAAGGCAGGGCACAATACGCAATATATGAAATGTGAAATTAGGCACGTGTTTGCATTGCACAGCTGAGCATCATGTAATCGCCAGACACGCCCCCCCCAGCGCCCAGCCCAAAACTTTCCATTTCATGCAACAAAAAAAAATGTTCATGTGTGGCAAACAATTTGATGTAAACTTCATGCACAATGAGCAGCTGCCAACAGTGAAGAAGAAGAAGAGGGAGAAGAGGGAGAAGAAGAAGGCCATTGCCATTGGTCAAGCAAGAGATTACACACGCGCACACACACACGCACATGCTGTCTCCCTTGCTCTACTGTATGGGTAATGCGCTTAACAAAGTTTTTGATTGTATTACATAGATAGGCAGAAAGAGTGAGAGAGAGAGAGAGAGAGAGAGAGAGAGGGAGGGTGAGGCAGAGATGGAGCATGCTTGTGTTTATGCATCTTATGCAATTTGTTTAGCATTTTCATATAAATTGCATCGATTACGAGATTACAAACATTTACTCAATATAATCCTTCAGCTGGCAACGGACAGCGGACAGCGGACAGCGGACAAAGGGCAATGGGCAACCGGCAGCATCTGGTCATAATGCATTATTGACCAAATATATTCCAAGTAGATAAACGATGATGGGCGACGTTTATATAACCCATGAGTGCGTCCATGCGCCAGGGTATATCTGCAGTTAAATTTTGTGTGTTTTTAGCATCGTTTTATCTCAGTTGTATTTTAATTTATGCAAATTTTTGTATTTTTGCTTTGCCTTTATCTTGTGCGCTTCATCGTTTACAAATTGTTTCTTTTGTTTATATACAGATGTGTGTGTGTGTGTGTGTGTGTGTGTGTGTGGGAAATAAAATTAAGCACACTTGCACGCAAAAGCACTGATCACAGATATATATATATATATACATATATAGAGAAAAATGTATGCGGCAGACATATGCTAATTGCCTTGAAGACTGTTTTATATACAACATATAAATTGCATGTGGGGATACCCTGTAAACTGTGAGTTGACAGAGAGTTGCACGTGAAGCTGAAGAATATATTATAGTAAGATATTCTTAAGCCCAAATCTACAAGTTCAGGTTTCTAATTCAAATCGAACGAACTTATTAATTATGCATGTTTCTTGACATATTGATTGATTGCCAGCAGCAATAGCTTATAGTTTATAGATCTCCCACATTACAAATAGAACTGCTACAGGGTATCCAACTGGTTAGGCCCTAGTTGAGAGGACAGTTTTCTATTTTTGTTTTGAATTTATTTATTGTTCTGCTAACGTAGATTTCTCAAGCGCTTGCCAATTGCAAAGTTTTGGCTGCGGTTGCCTAAAGACACGAATTAATTTGAAAACTTCACAGCAAAAGTTCTCAGCTTATATATATTTTTGCTGTTGTTGTTGTTGTTGCTGTTTCTGTTGGCTTTATTTTTGGGGTTTCACACATAATTTTTAAGTAATCAATCGAGAGTCGTTTGTTGTGGCAAGAGCCCGCCTATCGTACCGCCCGGCATTCGCCCAGCCCAATCGATTAAGTTAATTGTTTCGGTTTCTGTGCGACACAATTTATATACATATTAATATTTATGAATTGTCTTTTATGTGACTCGCTCAGAAATTCCATTTATAAACATAAATCACTCAGGAGGCTAGCAGTATTATATAGATAGTATATGTCTCGAGCATAAACTTTGCTTGGCAATTGCTGAGCGAAAGTATTTTCGTTACCAGAAATGAACTTTTCTGCATAGTTTTTGTCTGCCTTTTAGTGTTGCGAAATATGCAACTGAAATCGAAATAAAGTTGTTGTTCAACACACACACTCGCACATCCATTTGCGTGTTTTTTAAGCGTAAAAGCAATTAAAAAACTTGTACAATATTTTCTCATATAACAAAAGTTAAGCGCACCAACAAAAAAATTGCACGTGTTTTTTGCACGTTAACCAACACTTGGCCGTATGCCTGGCCGGGCAACAGGAGCTGTGCGTGCATGTATGTGTGTGAAACCTCATAGGGCGTCAAAGCAGCAAAAAGCTACAGCGCTCATGTTGTTCAGAGTGAGGCGTGGTAGGATATGAATGAGACTGGGTGAGAGAGAGAGAGAGAGAGATGGAGAAGGGGGCAGAGCTTCGCTCATTTCATATTGATTAACAGCAAATCCATCAGTGTCATTGTGGCTAGGCTTTTGGGAGCAGGGCGAGCAGCAGCGCGGCTCATCAGAACTAGCTCATTTACACATTACAATGGAAGCACAAAAACAAGAGCGAAGAGGCCAGAGGATGGGAGGACTGAGCTGCAACAGAACTTAACATCAGCTGTGCTGATGGCTGGGGCTATATAGAGTCTCACTCTCTGTGTGTGTGTGTGTGTGTGTGTGTGTGGGAAAACAAAGGCATTAGCAGCTCACAGCAACCGAAGAGCAACAGTGGAGGGCAGCGCGTTGGAGACTCGACCGAACTGGAACTGGAGCTGGAGCTGGGGCTAGGGCTGGGGCTGGCGCAGGTGCGAACGTGCGAAAACGTAGCGAGTGCAGAACCCCTTTTGCATAAACTTGACTTAATTAGCTGTGCAACAAACTTGGCTATTTAAACAGGTGCTGAAGTGTATAAATAGAGGCGGTGCTGTTGCAAATGTGTCGAGGAGCAGGGAGGAAACTTCGATGTGGTAGCCCATAGCGTTAGTCAATTGCGATTGGATAAAAGGAGGAAAAGAGAGAGAGTGCGGGAAAAATAGAAAAATTGCGACAATTAAACGTAAAGGGGTAGCCAATGCCAAACAGTATTGGAAAGTGGCTAAAGTTTATTTTAAATAATGTTCATCTAGATAACGTAAAGAGCACAGCTAAATTAGTTAGTGTAGAGTGTTGCATAAATGACTTGTGCAGTGTTGCACAGCTGCTTATATATGTTGAGTGTTAGAAAATGACCTTTAAGTATTATAAAGAATTGTAACTCCCTCTAGTCTAAGGCAACTTCTCTAGTATCCACTGCTCGACATCCAACATTGAGCTCTCCATGAGCTCATGTGCGGCATTATCCAAGGTGGTGAAGGTTCCACTTACGCCCAACTTTCGCAGTTTGTCGAAGGTGTCTCGACCCCATTCGTACTCAACGACATCGTCGTCTGTGCCATGATACATGCGCAGTTCTGGAAGCACTGATGCACCTGCCAGCGACTCGTAGACAACCGATTTGCGGTTCAGGAACGCAGAGTGCGCGAATACGCCCGCCACGTCTGTGTTCAGGCGGTAGCCCGTGTGTAGAGCCAGAGCACCGCCCATGGAGAAGCCACCGACAATGATGCGACTCGTGGGCACACCTCGCTCCACTTCGTTCTGGATGAGCGCATTGGCTATGTCGTCACTCTCCGACATGCTCTCCACTTCTTCGGGCGCATCAATGTGAATGGTCGATCGATTGAACCACACCGTGGATATCTCGCCGTCAAAGGGCGTATACTTCTGCTCGGGCGCTGTGGGAAATAGATATCGGATATGCGAGCCAGCAAAGTCGCGTCCAATCAGACCGCGCACCCATTCGAGCGCATTGGGTCCCGTATCGCCCGAGCCATGAAAGAATATAACACTCGCCGTCTTGCGTAGCGTTGAAGACATACTGAATTACCTGAACTGAAACTACAAATACACCATATATGTTATACAATATGACATTTGGGGAAAAGTTGTAGTACTTTGCCTAAAAATATACGAATACGTCTATGTATAAATTTTGAGCTATATGCATTGAGTGGTTCCCAAGTTACGATGGTTATATACCATAAAATCTAATTCTATATACATCCAAATTTATCAGTAATTAATTTTAGATTTTGAATGCAGTTTTAGAAAGTCTATATATCAAATGAAATCTCAATTATTCAATTATTTCCCAAACTTTGATCGTAAAACACTATTATACGATTTTCTGAAACTTTTAGTTTGGTAGCTCAAATGGGGCTGCAGTTCCGAACTGCCTAGCCTGCTCATTTGTCACAGCATTTTATTGAACTGTTTTATTTTTTTTTTGGGTCTCATAGATTGTACGAGCGTTAGCCTCTATCGTATCCTAATGGTTCAATAAACAACGTTTATGGCGTGACATCTTTCACGCAAATGCTTTTTTGAGGGGGGAACATGACGACGCCTACCATTGGGTGCCCTCACATAGATTAGGAGGTGCCATTAGAGAGAGGCATTCACCTTTTTTCTATTTTCCCCCTGTATTTTGGCTTGACCACTTGAGAAGCTATTAATATTATCTATATGGCCGGTCAACAATGTCGCGCTTTTTGAAAAGTGCTTCAATAAATTAAAACAAAATAGAAAAAAAAAAACGAAAAATCCCAACAAAAATGCTGTCAACCTATATAAGAACCAAAAGCAGAAATACACCCAAACGATTTCCCAGTCAATGAAGCGAGGTGTGTGTGCGAAGGGAATTCAAACTGGAGCAAATGAACAACAACAACAGCAACAACAACACGTTTGTTTTAGTTGTCTTTTTGGCAATCGTTGCTCTGACCAAAAACTAAAAACTGGCGTCGACAACGTCGCACAATAAATTTCCCAGCTCCTGTTCGTCGGCGTCCGTCTCCTGCTCTTGCTCGTTGTTGTTTGCTGTGCGTCAAGTGACCCGAATATTCCACTTTTTTTCCGTTCTTTCTTTTTGGGGCCGCGACTTGACAAGGGTTAAATAACATATATATATAAAAAAAAAATTTCCGAAAAAAAAGAAATGGGAAAAAACATGACCAGCAACAACAACAACCACAACAAAATTGTGAAATGTAACAAAAATAAAAGTTGCATTTCGGCCAACCCCCTTCCACCCCACAATATCCCCTCTCACTGCTGACCAACTGAGCAGCTTGTATATAGCATGATCCAGCTCCCCATTCCTCATATGGCTCCGACTGGCTCTGAACTAGTTCAAGTTTAAAAGGTGCGCGGTAAAAAAATCAGAACTAAACTAAAACTCAACTTGAATTGAGTTGAGCGATTTATGTTAGTTGGCAAACTGAATGGAAGCGAGAAAAGGTGCGAGCAGCGGGGATTATGATGGACCATTATAGAGAGAAGCAGAGTAAAAGAGTATATAAATATACGGCTTATAGTTTTAAAGTGGAAATATATAGTAAAGTTGAGCAAAATATAATAAAATTAATGGTAATAAAATTAGAAATAAAATTAAAAAATTAAAATAAAAATTATAAAAAATTAAAATAATAATATGATAAAAAAAGCAAGTGAATAACACAAATAATTTTTCTTAAATTATTAATTACCCATGTAATTAAATGTAAATGTAAGACTTAGAGAATTTCATAGAAAATTATTATAATATTCACTTATTAACTTATGAATTACCCAAGTAATTAAATAAGTACCCAAGTAATTGAGAGTAGTTCACAAGTAATTAAATGCCATTAGTGTCATATATTATTGATATATGATACGATTCGATTTAGAGTAACAAAATTATTAATATAAAATTAAATTTCAATCTCAACTATCCCAGTAATTGAGAGTAATTCAAGTCTAAATATCAGCTCAAGCATTCAATTTCTTAAGTATTTGCACTTGCATAACATAAACATGTATGCATGCATGCTTATGCTCAGAGTACTTACAAAATATCCCTGATACTTTTACCTCTAAGTGTTATTGCTATTCAAGACTTTGTTTCACACTCGGCTGTGAATTAGAAACTAAGGCCGATGCATGTGGCTGGCTCGGTGAGCTTCAAGCTGGCGCTGCTTCATGCTGTGGCGAACAGCAGTCGAGCAGAGCCTGCCAGAGTCGGCATTCGAAATGCCTTTTGCCAGGCTCTAAGCTCTTGAGGGGGGCCTGGTGTGGTGCAGTGTGGTGTGGTATGTGCAGGAGGCCCGACGCAGTCAGCCTGATGGTGGACTTAAGCCGTTGGCATTGTCCATTTGTTCGTGCTGACTGCCCGGGGGCAGATTTACGCATGAAATGCGCTCGGCTGATGCTGTTGCTGCTGCTGCTTGTTCTTCCTCTTCTATCCATCCAGTCCATCAGAGTAGTAACAACAACAGAATGGGGATTTCGACTTGCTAAAATTGCAGCTGGGGAATTAGTGGGGAGCGAGGCGGGTGAGAGTGGGGGAGGGGAGGGGGCATTTCTTGGCAGCAGCTGCCTGCAATCTGAGCACAAGTTGATTATTTTTCTTAAAGCATATTTCCGCAACAACTGTGCCACGCCCCCGACAGCCTCCCACCTAGTTGGCGCGCTGCTGCACGCCGTGTCATTTCTTTTGCAGTTGCTTTGCGTTTGTAAGTCTCAGCGCTAAGTTGGCGCTAAATTAAAAACTTTTGCTTTGCATATATTGCATGAGAGAGAGCGAAAGAGAGAGCGGAAGAGTGACGAAGGGAGTCCTAGTCCCAGCTGAGCGTTGTAATGCAACAGCGAAAGATTGTGCGAATGGGGGCGTGGCATACTGTTGCATTTTTTGCACGAGAAAAAAAAATGCAGGAGCAGCGAATGAGCGGAGAAAAGTTTTTTCTGTTTTGCTTGTTTTGGCTCGAAAGTTTTTTAACTTGGCTTTTGCTGCTTGTAAAACCAATTCCAAGGAAAATGAAAGTAATTTTCCTCCTCCTCCATCTAACATTAAAATATTGTACAATATAATAAAAGTCAAGAGAGTATGAGTGAGAGAGAGAGAGAGTGACGCCTGGGGGGCTCTAGTGGAGCAGTTTTACAGTTCTTCGCTGACAGCTGCACAATGTTTGCCACTTGAAAACAGCAATGCAATAATCATACTAGAAAATTATCATAAAAGTAGTGGATGAAGTGAGAGCTGGGTCTACTCAAGGGTTAGTTTGATGACGCAACGTTGCGTATACGCAATGTGAATCAATCGAAATGCAGTTGTTCATTTAGTCTTTCATTCATTTTTGGCTTAAAGCACTCTGCACCTGCTTTATTTACTCTGAGCTCCATGGCCATGAACTAAGCCGAATTGAACTAGTTCAATTGAACTGAGTGCAATGTGAACTCGCTTTGATTTGTTTTCTTTACAAAGGCACATCTTTTCAGTTATTCAAAAGAGAAGCAACACACTTAATGCTGCTCTAAAATTGAACTGGTTCGTGAGCTTAACTTTGGTTCAACCTCTTTGATGGAGTAAACTGAACTAGTTTTTCAGCTGAATAAAATGAAAGCTTTAGCTAAGCTATTTGCTGTATGCGCTACTTATTAGATATGCTTTTGCTCCGCAATGAGTAAAAAATGAACTAGTTCCATGAACTAATCCGAACAAATTCGTGAAATGAACTTCGATTCCATTCTCAATGTAAAAGGTATATGCAAATAGCCTAAATATGCTCTGGAACTAGTTCTTGAACTGAACTTTACGTCATTTCCCAGTCTAAAATTGCTTTAAAAATCTCTTTAGGCATTAATTCCAACCGACTTTAGCCTGCCAAGTCTGGCGCGCTAAAACTGCGCCATGCCGCGCCACGCCCACTCGGCCAAACTCAGCAGCCGTTGCGGCGACTCACTCGAAAAGTTTTTCAACTGGCAACTGGCGAATTGTTATGCAATTTGCAAATCGAAAGGCTGCAAACGAATGCAACTGCAACTGCAACTGCAACTGCAATTTTCCCTTTCGCTTCGCTTCCTGCCTCGCGTCCAAATGCTGCGTTCTTTGTCAGCCGCATTTTGAGACTTGGCAATTGTTTAGCCAGAATCGCGAGTCGGAACACCGTGTTAAGCTGCACCGCGTTGCATGAGTAACAAGCGTGTAATTCCAAACCAGCTGCAGTTGAGTGGCAGTCAAAACGTTGAGCAGAGCGAGAGACAGAGCCAGAGAGAGAGAGAGGGAGAGGGAGCTATGGGTCCAACTCATGACACATGAGAGCTAGCCCACATGTCGAGCTTTTTGCCATGTCCAGTGTCAGAGTCAGACTCAGAGTCAGAGCTTAGGTGAGCGAATGAATGAATGCTGTGAAAAATGTTAACAAAAATACATGAGGGCGCATAGAGAAATTAAAAAAGAGCTGGCCAAACCGCAAAACAAATGAATGAAATGTGCAGCGACACGACTCAAAGTGAACAACGGCGAACACTCAGTGTATAAAAGCTGTTGCAAAGCATATTTCGGTGGCGGGCGAAAGAACCAGCGAGAGCTGTAAGACAAGCAGACGGACAGTTGCTGAGAGTTTGTGTTGCTTTTCTCATCTTGGCCCTTTTTTTTTATATATATATATATTTTTGTGGGTATTTCTTGCTTTTGCTGACATATTTTTAGTGTCATTTCTTGCCAAGATGCCGCAGTAGCAGCTGAACAACAATTGCAGCAGCCATACTGTAAACTAAGCTGCTAAGTCCTTGCCACGACCCAAATCAAGAGCAGCATATCGCAATGAGGAAGCTCGTTGTTTTTGTGGCTGACTTCTTTGCTGCTTCTTTCTCTCCAATCTCGATGCTCGACTTTATTTTAGCTATACGTTTATTTTCATGAATTATATTTACGTCGCCGCTGCCGGAGAGCAGCAGCTGCTCCTGCTTCGTCTGCCTCGTCTGCTGCTGCTTGTAATGCTCTTTTCAGCAACTGTGACTCCCGGTTCGGTTGCTACAGTATTTGCTTGTGGGCGAACGCTTGTTTTTCTTTACAAAATACCCTGTACTTGCCAGAGTCATGAAAGTGGAGACAT